GGGGGGGGGGGGGGGGGGGGGAGGAGGGGGAAAATGGCGTCGTGGACGCCGGATTTGCTTCACGCTTTGCAGAAACTCTTCGAGAACGGGAACGAGTCGGCCGGGAACGACGACGGTGAGTTCGGTCGAGTTCGTTTTTTTTAACCCTTTCAGATCTGGCGTCCATTTCAATGGACATTGCATTTACATTGTGTCTATGGCAATTTCATAGGATTTTCGTGACTTCAAGCTCCATATTACGCTGAAATGGGCTCAATTATGCATGGCTCGGTTGTGTTCGAGGCCTTCTTTCACGCATACGTTTTGGAATCTTCGGTTACTTAATTAAATGCTTAATATATCATATATGGTACGATATGGTAAATTTATAGAAAATAATATAAAGCGTGAAAGTTTCAATTACGATCACGAAAAAGCTGAAAAATGCTAAAAAGGATATCATTCCGATAGCTGCCTCGATTCGGGTCTGAAATGGTCAAGTGCGTTTCGGGGATCGCGCGATCGTCGTCGGTCCGTTTCCGCAGACGAGCGGTCCTATTTCGCGGATCGCGTCGTCGACGAAGAGGGGAAGCACGGGGACGGGACTCGTGACGCCGGAGTGCGTGGCGCGAGTGGGGCGTACCTCGGTGGTCGCGTCGGACGCACACGCATGCAAGCACGCGCGCGCACGCCTTTCCTCTCGGCCTCCGTTTCCGATTTCACGGCCGAGACGGTTCGGAGGCGGTTCGAGCGCGGAGGGAAAGGATGACGCGTGAAACGCGATTTCTTTCGCGAAAATTCGGATCGGATGCAGGCCGCTTCGGCAACGGTCGTTTTTCGGGTCACCGCGGGAATGGGTGCGGCGACCTCCCTCCTCGTTTGCGGGAATGCGATTCTCGGTCGCCTCCATCCAGTGGCGCAACCGAAGGAGTGGGTATGGGAGCTCGAACTCCCCTCCCCGGGGGGGCGAGTGCCTCGCCTGCGATTGCACCAGAAAGCGCGTTTCCGCTCGGTGTCCCACCCCTTCGAGGTCTCGAGGGCCTCTGGCTGGTCGGGCCGAGGGTGAGACGACGACCCCCCCCCCGAAATGTCGAGTTTGGTTGCGACATCGTTACCGTCGGTTGCGTGGAATGCGGCTGGCTTCGTACCGGATCAGCATTTATTGCGGGGGGAATACAGGAGAGGGTAATGAGGATCTCGTAATTGTGTTGCATAAGTGGAACGAGTAGAATATCCCACGACACCCCTTAGATGGGAAATTCGAAAGCGGCGACGCGGGATTCGATCGGACTCTTCCCCCGCACGACTTGCCGATTCCGCCCGAGAGGTCGCGTCCGCTTCACGCACCGAATCCCGACGTGCGGAAAGTCATGAGGGCATTTCGCCCGCAGATACCGGCCTGAAGCAAGAAGTGAGCGACGGAGGGGCCGCGAAGGCGGAGGAACCCGAAGACGACAGCGAGGACGACGACGACGACGGGAAGAAAGAACCGAGCTACACCATCAATTTCCAGCAAGATCTCAACACCGAAGATCTTTTCCTTCGGGTAATACTTTTTCGCTCTTTGTGGCTATGCTCGACCGTTCAAAACAGACGAGAGTAAAAAAAAAAAAAAATAAAATAAAATAAAATAAAATAACTTCACGGGTACTCCCGTCGTAGATGCTTACGGAGGCGTAGAGCCGACCGTAACGAAAGATGCTACATTAGCAACATGGATTTTTATATCAGACAGCATCGTTCTGAAATGAAATATGATCAAAATATGGTATCCGTTGCACCGATCTGAGTGGTCGTAGCCCCTCTGCTGGAAGAAAGTATAATTTCCAGATTGATCACAGCTGCAACATTAAGACTCATTCCAGCGGGAAAACGGCTGGATTCAGGTTGGTTTTGCCAGCTTCAATTTTTCCCGGTTGGCAAGTTATGAAAATGCCCTTGTTAGCTATTGCCTGCTGGATTCCAGCTCGGGGATACTTGGTGCAAAATCACAGCTGGAATTTTACTCTGCGAAGTCGATAGCCAAAATTTCCTCTGCGTGCAGTTGGGGAACAGGACTCCGCTGACGAGCAGCTGTGAGACCCTGGTCGTCCGAATTTTTCTGCCGGGAGAGACGATGTCGACCATCACTTCAAGGCTGAAGCCGCGTCATCTCAAGGTCAAAGGTCAAGGTTATCGCCTCGGGCTGTACCTTCCCCAAAGGTGCGATCCCCGTCGATCCTCGGCCAAGTGGAGACCCGAGGAACAGACCCTGGAGATCAGGGCACACCTCGTACGGGAACTGGATCCTTTCAACTTCTGAACTTATGGGGGGGGGGGAAATTGACGTATGAAATTCTTTGTAACAAAAATTCATTAGTGTACATGAGGCAAAGCAAAGTGACCACTCCCTAGGACGGATAGAACTCGTGGCTTGAATTCTAGTAGAAATACACGCTAAATGTTCATATATACCTGCATCATTACCCTAAGACTTGAGCATAAATCTGTCAACCCTTCCCCGGTCAACAAATTTATTCCCTTTCACGCCAATCTTCTGAGCTGAATCTGAATATGCATGAAACCCCAATATATTCGAGACACATAAACATGAATTCAATGACACAGACACCGAAATAAAGACTGAAGGCTGTCTTGGAAATATCACAACGTCTCCTCCCTAGACAAGCTTCACACACGTTTGCACGTTTGGGGAACTGCAGACAACCATACGTTCAGGAGCAGGTGACGAGTCTTGATCGTGAAGGAGGACATGAGGTTCTGTTACACTGGAGATCACACGAGTGTGGGACAAATGGAGACGGTCTCCAATCGTACCGTTTGAGGTCAGAGTTCGTCGTGCCAAGTGCCTTGAAGACCGGAATCGAAGATGCCATCTCGATCGAGCGAAGTACAACGAGCGGGCGTTTCCAAGGTCATCGTGTAAGTACAGCGACTCGGTTCTTCGACGTCAACCAGTCTCGTCTCCTTTCCGCATTTCAATGTGACCCTGGTCGAGCGGCGCGGTCCGTTCCAGCACGAAGCCCCGTTGTCGTATTCCATCATCCTGTATGGGAAACGATGTGCCTTGTGGCATCATTACTTCTCGCATGGAAGACATAATAATATGTACATATAGTATGCATGTTGTGGGTTTCTGCTTCACCTTTTCCTTTCCATCTTATTTATGAGAATCTTCTCAATGAAGTCAGTACTTTAAAGCAAGGTAGTCTCATCAAATAAACATATAGGCTACCTACAAAGGATTAAAAAAAAAACTCAATAGCCACACTTGGAAACTATCAGAGAATAATTCTTAAGGAGGAGAATTTTAGAGACTTTTGTTCTCATGACAAAAATGTCTGACTACAGTTAAATTACGTAAAAGGGGCATCTAGGCCTGACAACAAGGAAAAGTATAGAAACCCAGGTTGCTTTCAAGAAGTAGTATGCAGTAACATGCATTTATGCATATTTTTTTATTGTGATGTCAGTTTTGAACCTGAAAATGTGCTACTATTCAACCCAATTCACCCTACACTCCTGGCTCAGTTCCTTTAGACTTCCCTGCTTGCAGGAAAACATTATGGGAAAGACACTTTTGGAAATAGATGGGGGTAGAACATGCAATTTCAACATCATCCCATGGCCTTACAAAAGCATGTTGCTCAGCAATTCATTTAAAATTGGAAAAGGAGGTGAAACATGTGCATTGCAGTGAGAAGGGATCAATTTGAAGGGGAGTAGTTCTATGAAATAGTGTCTTTCCTAGTAAATAATTCATTTACCAAACTGTTTGATATTCATATTGATTCAAGGCCTTCCTATGGCTTGAAGGCCATCACTGAAGGTTTATATGAAGTCAAAGAGGACAAATATAGCATGTCATTCCTAGACCTTGTAGCCTGCATGATAACTTCTCATATTTACATCAGGCAAACATGCAAACTTTGGAGCAGGAGTTTTTGTGAAAAGCTAATTTTTCAAGAGTCTAGTAAAGGGATTTTAAGTTTGCATTCTGTTCACATTTTACACCCATGCAATCAACTCATTGACATTCAATTCATGCAAACAAAGCATAATCTTTTTTGTTGGTTCTCAGTTGCTTTCGGTTCTGAGCCATTCGCCTGACTCATTTGGATCCACACAAACTTACACCATCTAAACTGTGCATCTCTGCTACAAACAATAAGGGTGAGGAGAGAGAGAGAGATACAAACGAGTAGAGGTCGTTGTGGGGTCCAGCCCACTTGTTCCAGTTCCCTAGGGCTGTGTCACCAGTCCCATCTTTCCTTCGCTGATGAGAAGAATCAAACAGGCATAGCTTGTACACGTACTCGCTCTCGGGAAACTCGATGCATTCCTTCTCCAGGGCCAAGAAAACGCTATCAGGCCCTGGCGTGCAAAAGAAACACCATTCATCTCTGTCATCAACTAATCAACTTCATCAATTCATGAAGGAAAATGGAGGTCTACCATAGTCAGTATTGACATCATCCTCTAACTTTCGAATGTCTCGCTCGATGTCTCGCACAGCACGATCTGCATCATCGTACTCCCTTGAGGCCTGGAAATATGAATCTAGATTTAATACCTCAAAATTTAGAAGCCATAACTAAATTTACCTTACTATATACAACTTTTGGGACCCTCTGCACCATTCATAACATCAAAGTGGATCTGTTGGATTAATCACTTCAATGATAATTCAGGAATCAAGCATCACATGCTCAATGCTTAAATATGAAGCTCAATTCTCAGGGGATTGAGCATCATATTTAAGCATCAGAGATCAAATGACAGATTTCATTTTCATCAATTAGCCTTTCTTACCATTCAGGAAAACCTAATTTCTTATGGAAAAACTAGTACCTTTTTTAATATAAAAATAATTTAAATGGCATCAGAATAACTTTCAATAAGCAAGTCACAGCTTCAAAATGAATTTATTTCACCCATTTAACCCAGATATGCCTGGCTTTCTATATGTAGGACAGTGTGCAGAGATGCACACTATGAAATTTGATGTTTTGGACAGCTGTTTGAATTGATGCAGCTTGATCAGTTGCTAGCCAGACTGAAGAACTAATTAGGTGTTGTGTGCCACTAGTGTCATCTGTTGATCAAAATATAATAACTTAATCATTTTTCATGCACTTCTCTGCACATCAGCATACATATAGAATGCCAGGCATATCTGGGTTAATGACAAATGGGCCACCCTGTGCATTCCCATGCTTCTTACTCTCCTCATAATTGTGCAATTGACCTCAATGACTTCTTGACCTTGGAAAGGATAAACAACAGATTGTGAATTGGTTGACATTATTGAAGTTAAGCCAATGAAGCTGTGAGTTGCTTTTAAAAATACATAGACCTATCAGAGGTGCAATTATATCACAGAGTTCTTCTTTATTCCTGAACAGTCAGTAAATAAAAGAAAGAACAATGAAAGTAGTAAAGAATGAAACCCATCACTTCTTCATTGTATGAAACATCATCCAACCTGTTATCATATACAAGGGTAGTTTGACAATGAGTAAGAATCTCAATTATGTGCTAATGTGCAGCAAGGTTACACCTATAACAAAGCAGTCTTACACATCAGAAGGCTGTGGGCCTAGTTTGAGCTTGGTAGCTTGCTCCCATCAGGAGATATAATATTCTAATTGAGACTCTCTTTGGAAAATGGATGAAAATCTCGTCATTGAGTGGCATTCAGTGATACGATATTTGATGTGGAAGGACAAGAATGCAAAGAAGATTCATAAAGTGCTCATCAATGTTTACCAAGTCAATGCATTGCCATACAGTACGGTTGCACACTGGATCAGTCAATTTTGTTGCAGTCAGCAGTCATTCAAAGACCAACTGTCCAATGGGGCACCAACAACAGTGACCACTGAAGAAATCGTGGCCACCGTCCAACGGATTGTGATGGCTATTAGAACAAAAGTGTGCAAGATAGTGGAGACATTGGACATCAGCACTGAACATGTTCATTTCATTTTGCACAAAAAATTGGGCCTATCAAAGGTCTGTGCCTGATGGATCGCCTGATTACTGTCAAATGAGAAAAAGCAGAATTGGGTGCAGATGAGTTTGGATCTCTTACGATGCTTCGACATGGATCTGGTGAACTTTCGTGCCAGATTAGTGACTGGGATGAAACCTGGGTTTACTGCCATGATCCTGAGACAAAACAGCAATGGATGCACTGGACAGAGAGAGGAAAACAGCCACCAGTCAAGGCACATGTGGTCAAATCAGCAGGGAAGGTCATGCTGATCCTCTTTTGGGATGTGGAGGGACCTTAGTCGGTCGACTTCTTGGCACCAAAGATGACGATCACTGGCCAACATTATGACAACATTTTGTCAGATTGTGCCCAGCGATCAAAGAGAAACGTCACAGCAAGTTGAAGAAAGGAGTTCTGCTGTTGCATGACAATGCGCAACTACACAATACCCACATTGCGCAGCAAACTTTAGGTGAATGCAAGTTCAAAGAATGCCCTCATCCACCATATTCGCCGGACCTGGTCCCAAGCGACTTCCATGTGTTTCAATGTTTGAAATCAGATCTCAAAGGAAAATGATTTTTGACTGATGATAAAGTGCAGGAGGCTGTTATAAGATGGTTGGAAAGTATGCCTTTGGAATTCTGGACGGTTGGTTTAAATAAGTGTAAAGAAAGATGGTTTAAATATAGTAGCATTAATGGTGATTATGTTGAAAAATTAATGGTAAGTAATGGCTCAAAGTGCTTCCTTATTGAGATTCTTACTCATAGTCAAACTCCCCTTGTATATGGGGTGCACAGCTGACTCAGTCTGAGATCAACAAACAAGTTATGTAAATAAAAAAAATGAACATGGGATATGGTTGGCCTGGGCGCACCATGTTAGCAGCATCAATAAGGGCCTGCGTTGCCTCATCATACTCTGGGGCCTTTTTCTCCACTTCGGGCAAGTCTTCTTCTTTTTCGCTATGCTCTTCTTCATCCTCCTCTGGCAGTCCTTCACTCCATTCCCCTGTACATACAGCACATCACTTTTACATCAATTTTAATATTCTACAATAACAAAAACATTATAAGCACATCTAATGAGCTGGACCTGCTTAAGGGTACATAATACCATACCTTCCCCAACATCAGGTTCCCCATCAGAAGGAGGAGTAAAGAGGCCCCGCTCCTTCATGAGGTATGGATACATGAGAATGTAACCTGTCTTCTTGAAGTGTTCCAAGTCATTAGAGTCATGGTTCCCCAGAAAGAACCTGAATTTAAGAAAGAACCACAATAAAAAATACCATACATGAGACTGCATGAAAGTGATGAACTTCCTAAAAAGAATCAAGAGCTAAGTCTTTTTAATATTTATTAATACATATTAAGACAATTGGGGGGCATTCAATAAGTAGAATGGATTACTATTTACAATGCTGGAAATCCCTGAGTGCTGCTTGTATACATACTAGGACATCACTTTTCTGTCACCACCAAACAAGCTCAGTTTTGAATGAAGATTTAAATTCAAGAAAGAGCCAGTACCTGGCCTCCTCGTCGGTGACAATTCCGTCTCGGTTCTGGTCAAAAATCGAGTGAGATTGGAGTTCAGGTAGGGTCACTTTCCCATCACCATTTGAGTCAAGCCAGGCAAAGGTCTGCTCAGCTGAAGACTCTTGACTCTGGATCTTTTCCTTCTCCTTCTCAGGCACTTCCCCTTCTTCTTCTTGGTCAAGCTGCTTCTCTCCTTCAGCTTCTTGGTATTTCTCCAAAGCCTCATTCTTCCTCTCTTCAGCAACCCGTCTCAGTTCTTCTTTCTCAGTTCGAATGGCTTCTGCCTCATCCCGTGACCTCTGTAACCTTCCCAGCTCCTCCTGGAAAATATCAGTGACAGAAAAATATGATGAAAGCTGATAGTGGTCAAAAGCAAAAGGTGTGGTGAATGGGAGTTGAGTGACCTTGATGAGATGAAAAACACTATCATCTGAGTAAGAAAAGGTTTAATGAACCCAAAATTTAGCATTTACTGATGGCTTACTCTCATCATAGATTCATATATCCACTAAATGATAATGAAAATTCTCAAACTATGGGTCGTGTATGACCCCTAGTTTGAGCAAGAACCATAGTTGTAGCACATGAAGAGAGGCAGGGAGGGTGAAAACTTGGAGAACAGCAGATCTATACCATATCATACCAGATGCCACATGTCACATGTTTCCTTAAAGCTACTGAAACTTTTTAAGTTGAATTAGCCCATATGGGCTGGATTACCTGCATTTCCTTATGTTTCTCTTTTGCCTTTTCAACCATCTGAAGCTTAATTTGGTATCCAGCCTCCGAATCCTCCTGCATCTTCAAGATCCGCTCTCTTTCAACCAAGCCAAGTTCATGACAAGAGTTGAGGCAGTGGGTCTCACTGGCCCACTCATCTGAACCATCACAGCAGTCACAGATCCCATCATTCACCCTGAAATAATTACAAATGAGTATGCAAGTATGAATAAAAATTGAGGGACAAAAACCCTAGCAAGAGTCACAAAAGAGAAAATGAAGGTAGGATGATGAAACCTTATTTATGCATAATGAAAGGATTTTCAGGCAAAGAATCTCTTTTCCTCCATAGAGATTGAAGGAATAAAAAAAATTATTAATTAAAGGAGGTTTTGGCATTTTGGCCTTAAATTTTAAATATAGCTCCTGGGTTACACTTATGGAGATGGCACAGCAAGCAGGAAATAAAATCTGGTTTGAAATGAGCAAGACTTTTGAGCTGAATGATAGGCCTTTAAATACATGCATAGAACTTGAGGCATTGAGCAACTGTATATTCAAACAAAGAATTTTCTCAATTTGACAGTCAACCATAAGAAGTCAGTCACCACTTTGAATGATGCAGTCATTCAGCATTTCAGTAAATTTGGCAAGTCACTAAATTGAACAACCCATGTATTCAGATTGGTTTTGTATCCATTGCATAAAAACTACATATAGAGTCTAACCCATCCATAGTATGGATGTGTAATGATATGGATGGCATTGAGAGGCACGATTGAATGTCCAGGGTTCGGTGGTGTAGTGGTAGCACACCTGACAGGCAATCAGGAGGCCTGGGTTCAATTCCCAGCCGTCCCCTGGCTTTCTTTCGTCCTCTCCTGCCATCCAATCTTCCGGCCATTCTCATGACAGATGTACTGGTACATCCATACTCCTGAAGAGGTTAAGAAAACTCACTGCTCAAAGGGTTAAGCATAAATGGGCCTAAATAATACACTGTATACCTGAGAGCTTATATTGCCAGATCCTGTTGTCTTTGAAGAATATCAATGTTTTCATAGTTTTTACAAGTCTAGCCCAGCCAACATTACTTTTCATTTTGTCCTTTCATTTACATTTACAGTTACAATTCACTCTAAACATCAGCTCACTATAGATGACACCTTTCTGCTTATTCTCCATAAATACATGCCACATACATACACTTTTCTTTCATTGACCATGTGAATTTTCTACAGATTATGTCTTGAGTGAAGGAGAAGGGCATGCTATCTTCTTCTAGGGCAACCTTTATCACAAGCAGCAACATTCTCTATTACTTGTCCTTTTCTCACTCCTTTCTTTTCAATATCTGTGGTAACTTGTAGTGGGTACTGGCACAAAGAGATTCCATCCATACATGAATGAAAGAAATATGAATGAACAATGTGACCTGGCAACCTTAAGAATGTTAGAAAATAAAAAGGGTGCAAATTATGAAGGTAAGCCAATGCCTCTGTTAGTAAATGGTACCAACATAACTAGCATACTGCCTCCTAAAACACAAAAACAAGCACTGTCAAAATATGGCCTAATGAAGTCCAAGGGAAAAATATAATGCTGACCTGGATGAATCTATCTCCATGGGACGGTGGCCAACATTATCACAATGGAATTTCATGTTCTGACAAGCAGCAGTACCGGGTTCATCAGTGCCATCATTGCAATCACAGTAGTCATCATTCACCCACAGGAATGGTATGGTGTTGGACCCATCAAAACATGTGAAATTGTTATCTGGATTATATAAAGGTGCCTTTTCTAATGATACTCCTCTGGGCCTGAGAATTTCAAAGGGGTAACACAGGCCAAGGTGGAGTAGGACCACAACAATCAGCTGGGCATTGAATGCCATCCTGTGAGGAGGTTAGGAAAAACCAGTTTTTCATGCTTCAGCATAAAGGTAATTAAATTTGGTTTTTCAAATTGCTCACTAAAAATAAAATAAAGGAGTGTGGGAGTTTCCTTAGAGTCACACTTTTAGACTATAATGCAATTATAATAGAGCAATAGAATGTTGACTACATTTAGAATATAGAATTTAACAATATATGACTATAATATTTTATTTTTCTAAAGTAAAGTAGGTTCAATGTCACAACTTGAAAGTTCTTGAACATGATCCATGGGGCAAGCCAAATTCATTGATTATTGTCTTCTTGCAGGAAATTTCCAGCATGAAGTGTTAGAGATAACCTGAGTTTATTTTGGCCTACCCTGTATAAGAGAGATTTTATGCTTTATTAGTCACAAATAATACACTAATTAGTTGGGAAGAACAACAATTCCTACCAGTATCAGTGGAAAGTAGGCATCCTGATGCCAATCTTCTCCAATAAGAATTCATGCAGTGAAAAGTATGATTCCCAAGGCCTATGAAAGGGTTAACAGAAATCTCATCAATGTTAAGATTGGCCAAAGGCCATAGACAAAACATTTTCAAAACATTTTAAATTTTATTTGACTGCTATGAAATCTTTTTGACAGCCCCATGTACTTCTCTCATGAATGGATGACTTCTCCAACATCAGTTGAAGCATTTGTAGGACAGGTCGACAGGAGCATGATAAAGGAGAATAAAATGATAAATGAGGGTATAGATGAGAGGTGGACAGATGAGAAAGAGGATACTTAAGTGCATGACTGACTTCCCTTGTTCCATAGTAAGCGAATAATTTAATGCAATATATTTTGGAACACTCACTCCTCCCAAAATGAGGGCTTTTAGAACAAGGGTCAGGGTTCCATGAATGATTTACACCTCCCATGTCCAGACAAGCATTGAGGTCTGCCCAAGCACTTGGGGCAAGGTATGAACATTTAGCAAGACCTCAGCCTCCATGCATGAAAAATGTGCATTTAACATTGGACTGTGCGTGCATGATAGTGCAGAGGTAATTTTAAGATGAGCCATACTAATGAAGTTTTCTTAAGACTGGTCAATAAAAATATCTAAGAACTTCTAGACTAAGTAGAGGTCATGTTCTGACAAAATGGTTCTGTAAAAACATGGTCAAGCTAGGTTTGGGCACTTAAATAGATGGGTGTTGGGCTGGGACAACTTCATTCCTGCATTTTGAAGGTCAGCTTCCATAATTTGCTAATGAATTATCAGATTTTAGGCTTTACCAATCTCAATTGGCTCACATTCGTTTGAGAGAGATCAATTAATTCAAATGCACCATTAAAATACATATATTAAAGTACACACTGTACTTTGTCATCGTCAAAAGATTGTAAAGAAAAAAGTACAGAAACGTAGGAAAAGCGCCATCCCTGATTGAAGCAAATTTGCCTCGGTTCCTTACATCCCACATCCTTTTCACCTTTGTTGCTCCAATTGTGAAACCTGGATAGATAACAAGACCAAAAAACCATACATGAATTGTATGGATTTTATTTACAGCACTTATTTTTAAACATAATACATTTTTGTGTATTTCATGAAAGGCGAGAACCTCTTATTGATGTCAAGATGGTCCTAAAATCAAGTTTCAAGTTGGAGCTAATAAAACAGGCCAGTGTTAAGCCTAAAACTAAAGCTATTAGCAGAGGGGCAACCCGACGGCGATTAACGTCTTACACGTTCTTCAGCCTTTTGCCCGATTGGCGGCAGACATATTGCCAACGAACCGCAATGTGGCCGCGCACGTAATTTGCACGTGTCATTCCTTCGAGAGCCTGTGTGACTCGCCTTCTCACTTGTGTTCTCCCTGGTGACTCAGCCAGCTTAGCTTTAGACCTACCAGGGCTAGTATTTACGCCATCCACAGTAGCTTCATCATAGGGCGATGTCGGGATATTTCGAGGAACACAACTGCACCCCTCTCCCAGGAGGTTCCGCGCCGAATCATGCCCTCCACTTCGCTCGGTTGCTCCTTCACACTGGGAGCTGGGAGGATCTGGAGCTTGAGTGGAGTCAATTGTTCGGTGAGAGACCCCCTCCCGCTGCATCCAAGACTTTCATTGCTTCACTTCAACCCATTCCTCCAGAGGATGCCCCAAGTCAGCAAATTCTCTTCTAAGTTTCTTCCTTGTCTACAAACTGATTTATTATAATGAAACTAACCTCATATGTGAAAATCATGAAAATGGGAGGTCTAGCACACCTCCCATATTTATACCAATCTGCCCATTGAGTGAACATTGTTTTTAGAAAGAGAGCAAGAAGCTATGGGCCTATAGGCCTGGTATTGAAGCCAGTCTTTATTTTGCCTGAAACAGAGCATGGGCTAACAAACAGTATGCATCAAAAGTTAAGATTCAATGGACTGCAAAATGTGTTTTCCACTGGCTCCATGCAACCATGCAGTGTTGTGCAGGTGCTTTAATTCTGTTTTACTGTTTGAAATAGGTAATATACATGTATTGATCTGTGTAACAACAGGTGTTTTTGATTGTGGATACGAACAAACCACTCACAGCAAGCAGTGAAAACATTTTTTTCCAGAGAAGTTCCTCTTTTGACTCCAAAAACATGAGACATACCATGCACTTAATTTGGATGCATTCAATATATTTCATGCTTAATTCAGTTAAATACTATGAATTGCTTCCTTCTACACGTAGGAGAGCCGTGTCCCATCTGCCTGAAACCGTATTCAGACGATGAGGATGAAGTAGGGGCTACTCTGCCGTGCAAACACACCTTTCATAAATCTTGTGTCACTCTCTGGCTTAACAAGGTGAGAAGCAGCAGTAATTTGGTTTGACTTCTTAACAATGGTTGAGAAACAGTTCTCAATGGGAATTCTCAACAGACCAATTCCTGTCCCTTGTGCCGACACGAGCTGCCCACAGATGATGCCGACTATGAGGAATACAAACGACAGAAGGTATTTTTTGTGCTGGCTATTTTATGGCATCTTATGGTTTTGATGGAGTTTTTGATGTTTCTTTCATGCAGGCAAGAAGCAAGCAAAGGGCAGAGGATGTGGAAGCACTACATAATTCCATGTTCTCCTGATTATTGGCAACACACCATATGTATCTATCATCAATTCATTCATCTCAATTTTCCTCATTATTGATATTCATGCCTTCTTACTATGATATACTGAATGCAAAAAGGTTAACAACAAAAACAACCCTTTTATTTGCATATGGGAACAAACAAGCACACTCATTGTCTCCTTGGATTGAGATCACTCCGGCAATTCAGATTCCGGTGGCATCACAGGCCTTTATTTTTTTCATTGTGCTCACTCACAGACAAATTCTGTAATATTTTTCAGAAAACATAGCCAAAATAGGGTTTTGACCTGAACGAAGTTACGGAGTGTTCTCATTGGAGAAAAAAATCTTACACCCTGCAAAATATAAAAAATTTACATCCAACTCATGTAAGTCATGATTCAAAGTAAGGTGAAAATTCACAGATTAGACTGTGGGAAAGCTAGAGGCTGAATACTCCCTTGATGCAGAATGGATGTCATACTGTGTCATACAAAGCTCATTTTGTCCTTAAAGAATGACATTTGAATACTATGACAGCAAAAAGGAAACCTAAGATGGAGGAATGACTTGTGAAACATGCAGCAATTCAGCACCAACGTGAAACAAATTCATGCATAGAGTGAACACGAGGGGAAATGGGGTTTGGGATCAGGCTGTCAATGGGAGTGGATTCAGATGGGAATCAGAAGACAAGATTCATCTGGGTACAGAGATGGAGATACGGCCAACAAGTACCACTAGGAAAACATGGGGAGATCCAGGATGCAGACATCGTCTCTGGGTGGGGTTAGGTTAACATGGAGGCATCACTAGGAGCAAATTCAACAATTGGTTTGTCTTGGCTCCATTGAATTTTTTTTTTTTTTACACCATAGTCATTGGCAAGCACTGCTCATCAAATATAGTCCACTTCAGAAAAAAAAATCTTTACACAAAAAACCCATAATAAAACCCATAGAAAGAGGACTTATTAATGGCAACAAAAAAAACCTGTATAATTTATTCAATTCCACTTTAGTGTGCATCTTTCTGTATTGAATGTCTTTACTCCAGCCTTTCTGGCACTTAGTGAAAATTACTGCCTTGCTTCATTCCTTAGGTGGGTCTAGTTTCTGCAGATAAGTAATCAGGGACAGAAAAATTAATGCTAATCAAAATAACGAGCTCTAATTCTTTACTGGCTTATTGGGAAAAACTTAGCAAAAAAAACGAAAAAATCCCTTGATTTTCTTTTTCTATTTTAATAAGTCATAATGATGTGCACGATGAAATATTGTAGTGTGGTTGCAGCAATCAGTTTAATGAGTTTGAATGAACCCATGATCAAGATTTCACGTATAGCAAAAGCCGATAATAATAAACCACTCAGCATGACCATTATTATCGTATTGATCACAGTTGTGATTCAAAATTTCGACGTGATTTTACAGACACGAACAGAGATTCAAGATCAGTCGTCCATTACAGCACCTCGACTCGATTCAAAGGTGCAAGAGGAAATGTCAGAGAATTCAATTATGGCAATGGCACACGAGGAGCATAAAATCAGTGACAAAATCCAGCCATGCCCAGCGGAGCATTCACCTGCGCTTCCCAATGAAGGTCTTATTGGTGGCATTGAGGAGGAGCCCCGTGAGGACGAGGATCCAGACGAACAGGTGCGGCTCGAACGACTCCAGGTAGAGCCGGATGAGGGCCAGGTATCGCGGGATCAGCGGGTTCGTCTTCGCCGACCGCGGGTCGGGGTCGCCCGATAACCCCTCTTGCTTCAGTAACTTGACGAGGGTTTTATCGCCGGCTTTGATGGGGGGAAAGTACTCCGACTTGGTGTCCCGCTTCCACCATTGAGGCTGAAGCCTACGGAAAGAGTATCCACATTTTGTTTTCACCAGCGAAAAAATCTATCAAAATAAATGTATCATCGGACGCCCTTCTTTCGTTCAAGATGAAAAAAATCTGTCGTAACCACAGCAACAACGATGCATCGGAGCCGATGGCAATGGTTAAGGGCAACCATTGCCATCGGCTCGCCAATGTGTGATTGAACTTCTGGCCATCGCCAACTTTTTGAAATATCGATACTGATGGAAAATAATTACAAAAAAGACATGCACCTGTGAAAGTGGCCGAGCTTCGAACACCCAGTCTCTTTCCAAGGAAATGCATTCCGAGAGCCTTGGAGTTACATTTTTCCCGGTTTTTTTTTTGAGAAATGGGTTTCTCGCTCTCCCGTCAAGCTTTCTCATATTTCACGCGAGGATGATTGCGCCTCCCCCCACGGGAGAAGGGAAACGGCAAGGAGTCATCATCACGTCATAAATCACATCGTTCGGAGGAAAAGCGGAACACGGGATGAAAAGGATCAACCGGATTGTGGTTCCCCCTCAGGGTAAGGTCAAACGACCGCTTCTCTTTCTCAACATTTATAACTAAGATCAAGGCTGAGCCAGTGGCGTAGCAAGGATTTCGCCAAAGGGGAAGGAAAAAAGGAGAGGGGGGGGGGGGCTTCAGCAGCCCCCCTCCCTCGCAATGCCATTGGACCAAGCGAGCAAAATCAATTTGCCAGCGCCAAGAAAATATGTTTCTCCATCGCAGGGGAAGGAGATTGAAGGCTAGCTTTTGGTCTTCCACCTTGGTCGTATGCACGATGGGCCTCTGAATGCATTTGGCGAAGATACTCTCGAGCAGACGAAGGGTATGAAAGTCTAGGTGAAATCATGAATGAGGAACTGAAAATTTTCCGAACACGCGCAGGCGACATTAGCTAAATCTAACAGAACTTTACACCGAATCCGGCATTCCATCGTCAGTAAGGGTTCGCGCACTATTCTTACGTTGTACATAGCACTGGTAAGACCCCATCTATAGTATTGCGGTCATTTCTGGATGCCTGCAAATAAAAGAGATATATGGTCCCAGAGATTATTCAAAGGGGGGTCACTAAAATGAAGAGGAAAACACGAGGGCTTTCTCACGAACGACGTTTGCAAGCATCGCAGTTATACTCGTTTTAGAGGTCTGCAGGGCGGGATTTCATCACGTAAGGTATTGAACACGTGGAGCGTGGTAGGATTTTCCAATGCCATGGTAACAGCAGAAGGAACCAGCTCGAGCTACGTATGCCTCAAGGACTTTTTTTTTTACCGGTTGGGTAGTGACTGCGTGGAACGAGTTTGGTCACAAGGTAGTAAATGTTTCTTCTGTGGATAGCTTTAACGGGTTAGATGCCCGCGTGTACGAAACAAAAAAAAAAAGAGGGCGGGGGGCGACATTTGAAGAAGCAGAGTAGGCCAACGTTGGATGGGGCTGGAATGGGTATTGACAGACTCAGAATGTCAATGCATGCATGCCTCTCTGCATTGGGATCCTAACGTTCAACCCCCAAAGTCGAAAACACAGTGCATAATACGGAAAATAGGCTCTTTCTCCATCTCCTTACGCTGCAATCGGCATGGGCACAGACTGGCTGATGGATGTGAGATCATAACCGAGAGTCATCTGCCCATCGGCCAAATGCTGTCATCGGTATATCCCTAGCCCTAAGTCATGAATATACAGAGTGTAAGCACCGAAATTTAACCCTTTGCATTCCTGCTTCATAATACACAGACGGCAGTCAGCTAACTGACTAACACTGATTAGCACTGACTAGCACTAACCTGCCAACCTGCCAAGTAATCTGCACTTTACTTGTACTTCTTTAGAGCACAGTATTTCTTAAAACAATCTCCTGGATGTATGTCTTTCGTCGTAATCGTCCTGTTATCACTATCGTCACTTTCATTATAGTCCTCGTCAATGTCACTGTCATCAGTCTTCGCTACTATTGTAATTCTCAAGAATTTCATCAATACCCGAAATTCACATTCACTCTCTGTCGCCATGCTGCCTTCTGACCATGTGCTTTTTCCCTATGGAATGAACAATTTCTGGATGGAATAACCCCAATAAAAATTGAACTACTGATTTTTGCTTTAAAAAAAAACTAGATGTAGTTCAAGGATTCAGTCAACAGATAGCAGCATTTAAGACTTGCCAGGAGACACCTGACACTTGATCTAGTGAACTAAAATAAGTGGCAGGAGTCTCATGACACATGATAAGAAGAAATATATAAAGTCAGAAAGGACCCAATAGATGAGTGTGAAGGGTTTTCATAACTATAAAACTAAGCTAAGCTAAAACAATGTATCTGCTGGCACAAATCTAAGTGAGTAATTGTTTGGGGGAGGGGGGCTAGGCAATTGAGTGATACTGTTATTTGGTTTGGCAACTATGAAATGATAGCAACTTGCCTGTGATGCACTTCACTAAAATATTTTTAAAAAGTTTATCACCATTTCTTCAAGGAATAATATGATTAGCTGCCTTTTCCAGGAATGGAAAGTGGGCTGCAGCAGAAGACTTCATGACTCACTTTTGCTTCCAACTGGTGTAGTGATATAGCCAGGAGGTGGCACGGATAAACTTGGGGGGGCTGTGCTTGAAGGGATATTTCTTCTCATCCAGGAGCTTCAACACGCTCGGCTCACCCTCCAAGAGCCGGTGGACAAACACCACAAACCAGGGGTTAGATTGATAAGAAGACAAGGCTGCAAACCACATCTGCCAGTCCAATCTGGGCTGATGTGGTGCTGGAAGCACAAAACAAGGGGAACATAGGAGCAACATTCGATCAAGTGAAATTTGGAGATGCTCAAGACAGACCGACGAAGGGGGGCATGGCCATAAGATCCCCTGGCTTGTATTTGAAATGGATCTCCCTCCATGGGCCAGTTTCTGAGTCACTGCCCTCAATGGTGATCTCGGGACGTCCACCAACACCAGTCATGGTACGAAACAGCCCATATGAATGAGACACATCCCATGGCTGTGTCATCAGGTACCAATCCTGGAAAGGCTTGGGCAGGTTCAGCTGTGTTGGTCGATGCAGCACTGAGAATGGGACCTGATGGAACAATGAATGGAGAGGTTTCAGTTTTACAGGAATGAGATTCAAAATACTTTTAAAAAGTCATTGAAAAAAGCATTGAAATTGAAACTCAAGTTAAGGGGGATCAGAAGCCAACCTTTCCCACTTCAAGTGAATCCATTATCATTTCACAATGTTTTCAGCAATATTGATAAAAACCTTATTTCAGTAGACTTAAAAAAAAACAAACAAAAGAACAATAAAGGAATGGTGAGTAACAATTTCTTGACTCACACAGGAGATGCCAAAGAGGAAGATGGCAATGAGGCAGTAGACAAGGCACCAGGTAGCATGATAAGCTTTGCGAAGGATGCGTCGGAATCCTTTGTTACGTGATGGGAGCCAGGCGATCTTGAGGGCATGCAAGATGGTCCAGGCCAGATGAATGCCACCCACAATCAGGAGAAGTGGAAACGACTGCTCAATCAAGCTCCCAAACTCTTCCTCAGTGAAGGCTGCATGGACAAGGAACAATTTAATCCAGCTGACCAGAGCATACAGTAACATAAGGTATCAAGACACATTAGTGTAGCACAAGTATACATAAGCTGGGCAAGTGCAGTCCTTAAAAGTCCAGTAGCATATCTCCTTTCAAGGACTGTTGGGAATAGGAGGATATGGCAGGTAGCTTGGAGATGGGGGGAGTGAAATCAGTAGGATGACCAGGTCTCCCTCCTTTCAGTAAAGGAGGCCCACAAATTTTCAAACAGAGACACAAATTCTATGCTGTAATTAATTCAAGACATAAGCTCTTTCTATTCTCTGATATCTCCTAGAATATCAAAAGAAATGTAGCAGGACTGGCACTGTCCAACTCACTGATTTTGGTGAAGATGATGCCATTGACAAAAGATACAGAGAAGAAGACAACGGCAATGTACACCAATCCCCCGATGCACACAAGGATCATGATCAGCTTTGCCATTCGCCACAGAAAGGCCTCAGATGGTCCCTTGGCTGCAGTACATTAAAATACTCCACTGAAAATACAGAACATTTCAAGCATGTTTGCATGCAAAAGAATGAAATGACTCAAACTCAGAGACCTTTGATTCTCAGGAGCCATTCATCATCAACCAAGGATAAACAGAGGACTAAGGTGAGGACATTGAAGAAGTTGTAGTTTCCTGTTAGGATGATGGCAACCTGGAGCAAAACCTACGAGGGACAAGCATGTAGTTTTCAAGTGTTTATTCAAATTTTCATTACCACTAGAGCAACCAACAACACCAGTTATTAGTACAGGTACTTAACCAAAAATTATTCACATTTCCTTGAACAGGAATTTCTGTCTTCAATTCTTGAGTAGTAGTTTCATGCAGATCAGTCATTTTTTCAAGGAAAACCAATGTCAATGAAGTTGCACTGTGAATATGATTCTGAAAGGTTGAAATGAGGATATAGACCAAGTATTTCTGGGCTGAAATACATTATAAAAATTTTTAATTCAACCAGACATACACTAATATGCCATCATGATGATGGGTAAGGACATCTTACCAATGGCAAAGTAAATTTATTTCCATTCATTCTGACAAAAATACACAAAGAGTATACCTGGGAATAGAAGGCAAAGATGCGGAGGGATCGGACAGGAGCAAAGAAGAGTAGTGGGATGGGGATCTCTATGAGAAATGTCCCTACGACGGACAGTTTCTGCATCCAGTCTGGCAACTGATGTGCATACCAGGCCAATGGTGTGGGAATACATTGGCTCTCATAGTGGTAATTCAGGGCTAGGGAAGATTCAGATCAATATGTCACATAACAATCACAAGTGATTGTGTGCAATTTTTTTTTTTAACTAACAGTGGAAAACATTTTTTTGTGACTCTGATGTGAAAAAATGCTTGCTCCAAGAACAAGAATACATAAAATCTAATAATATAATAAAATGCATGGAAAATATATGCCTACCAGTGAGTCCCCACCAAGTGGGACATCCACTCTGGAGTTTCACCACGCCTGCAGCGAACATGAGGCGGAAAAGGAGCCATCGGACGAGCCACATGTTCACCCTGTCCCATGGGTTAGAGCGGAACACGCCACGTGGAGTCCATGCTGCCACAATTGCTGTCAGCAGCCCAACCTCCAGCAGTAGAATATCCCTGGATTCATGAATGGTTCAATGAAAATTAAAATCTCAACAAGTCTCAACAGGGTTGATAAAGGGCAAAAGCAAGTACCATTGGAAGTGCAGGAAGACCTGGCCCACTTTATAAACAGACAAGTATAACAGCCAGAGGAGGAAGAAGAGTGGTGCAATGCAAAGGGATGGGCTGATCAAACTGCAAACACAGAACAAAATATGTTATATCATTAACCTAGCAAAGGATCAAATGATGCAGTATAGCAAAATGTAAAAATTCTGAGGTGAAGCAATAGGACCAAATTAAGGCGATTTTTTTCATTCTCGTGAAGCTTTCATGTTCAGTATTAATAGGAAAAGACCACCTGATTTAGGATCTGCCTTTTATTCACCAAACTGGTTATAGATAGGAAAGGTATCAAGGGAAAACAAAAGACAGGCCAGTAATAGGCCGATGTTTCCCTTTATCTTATCATAGAAGATGCTTAGTTTTAATCCCCTCCACAGGCATAAATAAGGGAGGAGGGAGGAGATAATGAAAAAGGGGGAAATTCCCCCTGCCTGCCTGGCAGTACAGGTTTCCTCTCTTTCTACCATATTCAGGGAATCTCTAAGCCAAGAAGAACCTGGCTCCAAGGATTTATGTCCATCCTCCAGTTGCCATGTTGAACTTTGTGATTTGAGTTAAATGTGATATAGCCTAAGGTATTAAACTGAATCAAGATAGTACAAAATTTAAGATTAGTGAATGAGTAAAAGAGGATATTAAACATGGGCCTCATGAGTAATTCTCTAAGTGAGTGTGCAATATTTTTTATTTTCAGAAAAGCAAGAATTTTGTGCTTTCATATTGAATACTAATGGAATGTTTTACTTCCCACCACGGAGTGGACAGTCTTCACTTGCTGTTCCAAAGAAAAATATTCATGAATTATTGAAATAATTTTTAACTGGAAAAAAACTTTTGGTCTTCCATGTAGCATCATGTGACACACTGGCATGTCACATGGCAGTTAACAAGTTAAATCTATCTTGTGATAAACTGGTTCACTAGAAGCATATTCCTTGGCTAAAGGTGAAAGGTAGGCAGAAATTTCCAAAACATGCTATTGGCAACACTGGTTACTTTCTTTGGTAATATGTTCTCCCTTCAGACTGAATTTCATTCAATGAATTTCTGATCTGAAAATAACTTCATTGAATTCATTTCCAGATGAGTTCATTATGGAAATAAATGTGTTTAATTTGAATCTATTTGGTGCATGTAGTCCCTCTCTTTGTCTTAAAGCATTGTACATGCACTCACTAAACCAAACCAGTGTCATTCATTAACATTTTGTTGCCACTTCCAAACATATACTAAACATCTTTGACCTGCTCTTGGGAGCAGGTCAAAGATGTTTAGTCTTGCCTCTAAATGCTTCCACATCCTACCAGCATCCTACTCATTTCTTCCTATAAATTCTTTTTCTTTGTTGTATTTTTTCAGCATCTTTCTAATGCTTCATTTGATAACATTCATACTGGAACGCATGACTTTTAAGGCACATATACATAGCAAAACACAAAAAACTTACGCTCCAAATCCAAGGATTGAGCCAAGGATGCATATGACCTCAATTCCAGACTGAGTATCCATCTGAACCAGATCTAGGAACCAGAGGAGTGAGGGATTCTCCAGAAAGCACTCCAATGGACTTCCCTGCTTGCATGTTAGGGTCCGATGTGCTGGAAGGATCCCTCGGCTCCCATACAGGCCTGAAAATTGAATTAAAGGCTACACTTCCAGAAAAATAAAACTATGGGAATGGTGATTCCTCATTTAACATAATGCAAACTGACCTGGAACTTGGAAATAGAGGGAGCTGAAGGCCATTAGGTAGATAAGGCCCATGAATCGGGTGAAGGAGACCTTGGTGTATGTGATCTCCCCCATGGTCCCTTGCAATGACAATGCACCACAGCAAACTTGCTCAGCCCCACCTGACACTTTGATTCAGTCCAACAGTCATGATGCTGCACTTATGGGTAAACAGTGACAGAGAATAATTGAAAACTAATATGATGTGGGATTATGCCAGGGTACCAAGGAGTGAAAGCACCCTTCAGACATTAGCCTGATATTGGCAGTGGCAATGGGAACAAAAGCAACAGTAAAAACAAAACTGAAACTTCTGCAATGTTCCATACAGGAAGAAGGAATCCAAGGTACAGGAATTTCCACTAGATACAAAAATCTAGCCAAATCCAACTTTATTTATGAAGCGGATTGCTTGCCTCTATGGTGTTATTAAAAAAAAAAAAAAGAGAAAATTTTGTGGGTGAAAAATTATGTGAAAAAAAAAAGGGGGAACCTGATGGGAGAAAATCTGAACTACAAAAACATGATAAAATAAGGAAAAACCCATACCTGTCCTGGCAGAAAAAAAAACTATCAATCAGTCTGACAGTACTTATTATACTTCTTCTTCTGCTTGAGAGCCTTGAGGCACCATAGCAATTCACCCTTGGCCTTATTCCTCTGCTTCACTATGCGATCATACTCATCACAAAGTACAGCATTCACCTCCATCAACTTCTCCACCTGGTCATGATAAAATGAGCAGCACTTACAGTGAGATGTCTTGTCATCACTTTCTGGCTTCTTGTCTTTTGACAGGTCCTCAACCAGCAATTGATATAAATTTGGGGCCTCAGTTGCTGCAGGCTGAGGTGGAGAGAGATCTGCATGATCAGTGCTGTTTGTCACAGAACGTATCAGAGACTCTAAGGAGTCATCACTCTCTTCAATGGTAGGATTGTGAGAAGTACTGCCCCCTTTCTCACTTGTAGCACTGGATAAAGTGGACTCCTGAGAAGCCTCTGTGCTAGGAAGTCTAGAGGATTCTGAATCAGAGACTTGCAATTCTTCTGAAGGTAAGATTTCTGAAGGATCCACCTCTTGGGGAATGGAGTCATTTGACTCATCAATGATGAGTTGCCCTTCATCATCTGACCCATCTTCTTCTTTAATCACAACACACAGATTCTCAGCCGGATCAACTTCCTCCTCATCTTCATCTTCTAGCCGGGATCTCTTTGGACTACTTTCATAGACTTCATCATCTGAGTCAGGGAGATTCTGGGATGGAACTACATCTTTTTTCAACACACGCAACCTTCTTCCAAAACCAAATGCATTTTCTTTCTCACGGTCAAAGTCTGATTGCAGAAAGTGCTTGGAGCAGACACGGGTGTGCTTCTTGGATGCAATGTGATGTGGAAGATGCAGCAATGTTCGCCATTGTTCATAGAGTTTTAACTTCCTCAGAGGGTTAGGAAAGCGATGGAAGGAGAGCTCTGCATCCTCTTCTTTCCGTTTATCGCTCTCGCAGGATGGAACCACACACTTGTCCTTCCCCATTTGGAATTTTCAGGCAACCAGGTTCTTCACAACAAGATCGGTCACTTTGCGGACTATGCCAGGGCTATAGTCAACCAGGGACACTCCAACCAGAATCGGCTTATCAATATTTACCTTTTCAGCAATGAAGCGAGCAACTAAGTGAGTCTCGGAGCAGTCTTTCCCCAAGAGAACCCTGAAAAAAGAATCAGGTTAAAGCTGGATTTCAGAATGCCTCCCTGAGCATAGGACAAAATAATTAAACCTTTAATTTTATATTGGTCTATTATTGACTTCTTTGTCCATGGCATGGCCTAGCCCTGTTTTAAAATTTACATCATAGGGTACCTTTATGAAATGAGTTCTTAAGCTTCAGACCTATGGCCTAAGCACAAATTTCACAGTGCACTTGGAGCTACAACATTTTCATGAAGTTTATCATTCCCTTTTTTTTTTATTACATTGCAAAATTCTCAGGGCAGGTTGAATCACTTCCCATTATGATCTCCATGGTCCAAGCCATGGGTTTAAGGCAAAGGTTTAGTCATAGAGTGAGTTTAACTCACACTCAAATTAAAACTTATTGGATACAAATGGAAAGCACTGGCTTCTGCAGAAAAAAACGCTGTGAGCAGTGGACTCCATTCAACATGCGTGGGCCAAGGCTTACATTCAGACAAGCATGAACTCATTTCGATTGAGTATCCTTATGGTTAACTTGGAAGGTCTGGTTGAATTCACCGAAAAACTGAGCATCTCACCGAGTGCTGTATACGTCAGCCGGGTGTTCCCTTCGGGCCACGTCCTTCCTGACTTCGATAAGGGTCCCGATTTTTTGGAATTGGGTCACTACAACAAATAATCGGTCGCCAAAGTCCGAGACGAGCACATCTGTTGCCTTTCCTTCAACTATTTCACACGCAGTGGCCGATTTCACGGGGAAGCATTCCGTGCTCGCCAATGCCATTTCAGGAAAATCTGAAGTGAAAAGGCCAACTTCATATATGTCTTTAACCTTTGGCCCCGACAGTCAAACCACGGTCCACGCGGCGCCTCCCATGCACGTCGCCATGATGACCCGGTAAGTAGCTCATGAGCGAAGCCAACGCGGCAACAGGCGCATGCGCAGACTACCGGGACTTCTTTCTTTGGCGTTTATCCCTGAGAACGGCGATGAATGAGAAGCCATTATTGGAAATGGAGACATACCAGATAAAGATAGTTATTTAAAAGCGGTATCCAATCAAAACCATCAACTGGAAGCATGAGTTGACCTCATCTGTAAATTTGGACTGTTTTCCATGTAGTTCAAGATGGAAATTTACAGGCTTAGTCTGGAAAGTTATTTCTTCCAGCCTAGGAATGAAGATGATTTCACTCTTTCCAGAAAGTGAATTTCTGAACTCGTGTATTTCTAATAATCTAATAATCTGTATTGCAAAGTTACGAGCCTACAAAACTTCAAATACATATATATTGTAAACAAACTATTGTGCACAAAATAAAATGAAAATGGCTGAAAACTTCTTCAGATAAAAAAAAAACAAGAGCGCCTTCTTTTTATCTTTGAGGGACCAAATTTCAACTTCTCAGCTGACAAGAAAGACCAGCTAAATCTAGTCATCACCATCTGGTTGAACCTTGTTCCTACCAAAACGGGATCCAGTTGGAATTTTCTAATGGGTATGGGAGGGCATGTTTATTATGACTTGAAAGATACAGTCCCCTCGAGACCATTGCAGCGAGTGAACAGTAAGAAAAGAAAGAGAGAACCGTGTAGAGACCAAGGAAGGGAAGAAAGATGGAATTGGACCAGAGACAAAATACAAAAGGCGAGGTCGAGGTCCCATAACGACATAACGACAACGGACGATATCCAACACGCGTTATATTTTATTTCGAAGCAATTCCGACGGCTTCCTCCCTCCTTTGTCCAATGTTTCTCAATGTGCATGTTTCCCTTTTGGCAGTAATCTTCAGAGAACAATAGATTCTCATGGGTTTCATGCTTCGACATTTGCTTATACAGTATTTACTTGGAAGTTGATATTTCGCCTCCTACATCGGATCTCCTTGAGAAACCAGCTTCCGCCGGAACCTCTTCCGCGCATAAGAAAAATCCAGTCGTTCCAGGCAGCTCCTAACATACAACCCCCAGGATGGTTTCAGTTTAATTTAGTTTCCTCTGAAGGCCAATACAGCGTTTTACGATGTTATCCACTGTTTCATTTTTACGATCCAAAAAATTTCGTATTTTCAGGTCAATTCTTGCCGATATTGGTAGCTTTTGTAGGTCCTAGAGCGGGGGTTCTTAACCTTTTTGCACCTACGGACCCCCCGGATCCTCAAGTATTACCCGTGGATCCCCCCCCCCCTGTTATCAGAAGCTTTGGAACACCTGGATTTGTGATTATAAATGATGATTTTTGGGAGCTACCTTCAATTATATATTTAATTTTCCAAAGACCTTCCACGGACCCCCTAGGAGTCCATGGACCCCAGGTTAAGAACCCCTGTCCTAGAGCATCCCTGAAGTGGGTAGAAGAGGCAACTTGAGGGGACTCTAAGCGGCATGCACCAAGTGAAGACTCAAGACTGAACGCAGAACAGATATTAACTCCGCCTCTGTGGAGAACCCTCCTCTCCATACGATGCAGAGCGAGTAAGGAGGAGGGGGAGGGGGGGAGGGGGAGGGACAGGGGGAGGGGGAGGGGGAGGGAGAATCTGGGAATGACTTGAGTCAGTATAAGCCTAGGAAGGAGGCTGGAAACAGAGTGACCAATGTTGAAGCTGTTCCATAAAGTAGGGAGAATAAAGAATCTGGCCATAAATTAAAACTCAATTTGGAATCCATCCTTTTGACATGCGGATAGATTATACGAATTTCAATTGAATTTTACAAAAAGTTAATACGCCCACAGAGACCACGATTGAGACCCGTTTCTGGAAAACTGGCACAATCCGTTTTTCTTCAGAAGTACCTTTTAATTTGGCTGCAAACACATGAATGTTTTGTGTTCTCCGATGAACGGTTTCTCATCCGAAAAAAAAAAACAAACAAACCAATGGAATTCTTCTCGTTAAAATGGGACCTTTAAAGAAACTACTTTACTCACTTAAGCCGCCTTTTGCTTTTAGCGGCACTAAGGAGAATCTCGTTTTTTGAAAGCCTTGACTCCAAGGTCTTCATGGAGAGCACGATCGAGGGAAGACTTGAAAACATATGGATAGCTTTCTCGTGGAACTCAGTGGTCCTTTCTTAACAATACCGTAGAGTTTTTGAGCAACGCCAGCAAAGTCGATACGTCTTTTTTTTTTCGATGTCTGCAGTTCCCTTCGGCCTTTAAGTAGTGAAATGAATGAATTCCCTCGAAATGTAGTCCTCTCAAGCAATATATCTGTCGTCAGATAACCATGTTCAACTCAACTGCACAATAGCCCAAGGACACATTGTTAGCTCCATCTGCTAATGACGTAAGTCTTCAAGGAAATGGACTCGAATCTCGTGGATACTAACGACTGAACGACGGGAGGACTCCCTCATCCAAGCGAGATCGGTGACGCTCATCCCAGTCAAATGAGACGACGACGACACGAGTTGCAGTCTCACATCTACATTCCTTGCTGGAATATAGAACGGCAGGAATCCTGCGAGACTTCCATTCCTTCCTGTGTTATCACTTGGCCTTTTCCAAATCCCTCTCGTGAGGGATTTGACACCTCGTCCACACATTCCTTCTCCTCAAGCCTCATTCTCAGAATTCTCCCAATCCGTAAAAGTTTGAGGTCGAGGTGAGAAAAGAGTCAGGCTGTCTTGAGACGGAAACCCTCGAGACGGTTCTTCGCGGTCGAAGTTCTCGATCGCCTGCGCTGGCGGATGCGGTGTCAAATATTGCAAGCAAGAAATGGCTTTGTGGGCTGCACGATAATGACCAGGAACAAATTTCGACCAGAGCCTCCTCTACCGTCTGAGAGAGCTGGTGTTGACGAATGAATCACGTCTCAGTCAGTCCGCAGAAAACATGCGTGTCGGCCATTAACCCTTACCTTCGCTGATAATGGAATGGAATGGAAAAATAAAAATATTGAATGCATAATTTCTTGCAACTAAAGCACTTCGCTACTCTCCAGATTAAAGCAGCTTCTCGCGATTGGACTCCTGTCCTCCCTCAAATGTTTGACTGAGCAATTAAAAATCCATCTTCAAAGGGAGACGGTACAAAGCAGAGGAATTAAAGCCGGCGGGGTCGGAGGCTGGACGAGGAAGAAAATGATACGATAGAGAATTTCACCCGAGGTGACAGGGCCTGCGGACGCCCTTTCCACCTTTCCGGTCGGTTGAGCCAACTTCATTCTCATTCCGTTTCTGAATGGAACAAGAAATCCCTTTTCGAGCTGGAGCATCTGGGATCAGAGGATCTGTTGATCTAGATCTAGTTTTCTGACTTTTCATCTTGTTCAGTGAATATATTTTAATTATTTTGCATTTAAAAATGTTTTTGCTTTATAGTGTAACATTTACACTAGTAATTGCAAGTATCAGATTTGACTCATGCTTCTTTGTCGAATGGAGAATACATTTTTTCGCTTTTGGTTCCGTCTCGAGGTGCCAATTTAGGAGAAAATTTTCTTCTCTGCAACGAATTCGTGGGGACCTTTGTCCTGAAAAGGCAGAAACTGCTCAGATTCCCATTTGAATGCCTCGACGAGTTACATTATTTCCGAGATGCGTAATTCACTGCATCATTTTCGAGATCCTTCGCATACCAATAAGGCGGCCTCAATGTTTTTTTCTGTCCTGCTTGAAAAGTTTTATTTGCAATTCTCGATCGCCATAGGCAGCCTTCTTCATTGGCTCATCCTATTTGCTATATCGGTTTACTGCTGGTGCAGGCTGGAGCGTGACTGCGCACCCAGGTGCACCGACCAAGGCAAAAAGTAACAAGGCCAAAAGTGGTTAAGTGACAGGCTTGCATTACTTCGTCGAGAATGACGTCGGCTTAGTAGGAATCATCTTATTGCATCACTCTGCGGGATAACTCTGTGGGATAACCCATTGGAATGACCTTCCAGATCCTCACCAAACCCGACGTACACGTCCTTGCAAAGCTCAGTCACGAAGGAAACGTGGACGGTGATTGTAGAAGTGGGAACTCGGAGAGGCACTGTATCCGGCGCATGGAATACAGAAAGCGGAAGAGCGAGCATGAGCTTTCGGCCTTTTTTGTCATGATCGTGACTAGGTACCTAATTAATGAATTAATTAGCTCCTCCTTTTTGTTGTGCACGTAGGTTGTTTTCGGCTTTGCGATCTCACCACTTTGGCTCGTTGCAGTAAAGATTGATTGCTTGATTGAAGGGCGAACAAATTTCCCCGATCGGATCCCTCATTTTTCCAGATTGGACCGGGAATTTCGAGAAATTTACTGCCGGTCCTCTTTTAATGTACTCTGCGTCTACCGCATGCGGTACCTGCTTCAATTCGAGAAGTGGGAGGAGCCAACTTGCTTGAGAGGGATTTCTTCAAGGAGTTTGGCAAGAGTGACGTCATCAAACCGGCTGCCTTGCATCATCAAAGCACGCGATAAATTGGCGGGGGATTAGATTCTATGAAGAATGGAAATGAACGGATTCTGTGCTTTTCATTTCATCCGGTACGAATTCGAGAAGTAACACAATTATTTTATGATCCTCTGTAAGTTCTACCTGTGTTACATCTGTGAACCATTTATTGAACCATCCCTTGTGGAGATGCAGAGAGTACTGACAGAGTACTATAAAGTACTGACTAGTTTCTTCTTTTAACTGCAGGAGTCACAACCCTCAGAATTCCGTTTAAAGCTAACCGACACGGGCGATCGTCCCCAGCATGAATTCGATACCATCTTCGCTCCTTTCACTTTCGATGCGACGAGCCAGACGGCGTGCGCAAGTCAAACGATCTGCATATCGGCCTCGCCTTATCGGTCCGACGAGATTTTCGAATGCGGCGAGCGGGGGGTCCGGAGAGTTGAGGCCAAAATCCCATTCGCCACGCAACTCATTCATGTGGACGAGACTCTGAACTGGTAGGCCTATGTCTCTGGGGCAGCTCCGTGTCCCAAAGCCATTAGCATCTGGAAAAGGGAATGAAAAATGCGAGATTTCTGGGACTAATCCGATTTCCTGGGAGGAAATCACAGCTGAGACTTCGATTTCTGAGGATGACCGACGAAAGCATCGAAATCTGGATCCTCATTGTTCAATTGGGATTTCCGAGCTCTTCATGGCCGTTTCGAAAGGTGCATGAGATAATAAATTTATATTTTGTTCTAGCCTAAAACATTGCTGATGCCGAGAAAAAAGTTGTATACATTTCCGTAAAAGTAGAACAGTCGATAGAGACACGATTTAGACGTCAGACGCTCAGAGACAGGCACCGCATACTCAAGCGATTCCTCCCTCGCACTGGATTTGGCGCCATCCCTCCCCTCCCCTCGCGCGTATTCGACTGCGGGACCACCCAGGCGGACCACCAACACCTCGCGGGATAAAAACTCCTTTCTCTCTCTCTCTCTCTCTCTCTCTCTTTCTCGAGCTCGCTCGCTCGCACGTGTGTGAGTGGACCGGTCACAATCCTCCGGAGGGAATTTGTGTTTTTTTCATTTCCCATCTCTCCTCCCATATGCTCCCTCTCCGGGAATCACGATGGAACTGGGATTCCTCGTTTCTGTGCTCTTTCTCTCCGTCTTCTTGTCGCAGTCTTCGTCCGTGGCGGCCCGGAAGGTGAGTCCCGTCTCTATTCCTCGTTTCTTTAATCGAATATGCCGTTTCCACATTTTCTCACTTTTTTCGCCAGTGAGATATGGGAAAACGTGGAGCAATGCATATTCACCGCAAACAGCACTTCCGATCGCCGATTGTGCATAATTTTGCAGTAGTAACTACCAATTGTGTTATCTTAGTAGCATTTGTTTCGTTTAATGGAACTTTTTTGAGTCCTTTGATCGTCCAGAGGATCGACCACGAATTTCTCGACTCAAATGGCAACCCGATCCGGCGAAAAAATCGTCAAGGAATGTTTGGCCATTTTCTATCTCGATGGACGCCGAAGGCGTGAAAATTCCCTTGGACCCGAGATAAGCGCGGAAGGAACGAGACGAGGGTGACATTGACAGGTGTGACATTGACAGGCGTGACATTGACAGGTGCGAAGGGATCTCCCGTCCTTCACGACGGAGATAAGGGGTTAAAAACTCCTTTTTTGTATTTGTCGATCGAGCGGTCATTTAACGGGTCGTTTCGGGATGCCTGATTCGACGAGAGAAAAAAAACCGGAACAGCGTGTCCCCTGCCACCGATGGCACTCGCAAAAAAATACCGGCTTCTTGTCGTCGGTTATCGAGAAAAAGTTCCGAGGGAAAAAAAAAGCGGCCGGCCACGATTCAGAGAGCGATTTCGAGCTTTATTCACGATCGCTGTTTATTCTCTCCGGGAAAATGACAGGTTTTCCTCTTTCATATTCATACTCGAATCTTCGCCGCTTAAAAGATCCTCTTTGAACGCGCGAGTTCATCGCGGCGTTCGCAATAGCAATCCATTTGTACGCCAATTTAAATATCTCGATGCAGCAATATAAATTTCCCATCTCTCGATGAACCATGCGGAGACCGGATTATCTAGTCCAGTTTAACAATCCGACAGGATGCATTCATCGATGAGATGCTATCGAGTTTAATTTCAACTTTGGTCATTGTAAAGAAGAGAACACACTCGGGAGTTTCCGCACGAGAAGTATATCCAGCAGAGATTTCATCACAAAACGTAGTCCGAATTTCCGCGTTCGCATTCTTTTAACCTGTTGGGCGTGGGAGACCCTTCCTCCCTTCCGAGATTTATTTATATGCTTCCCTTCCCGAGGAGTTGGTGGCGAAGTGGGAAGTCATTCAGTCTGCATCCAGCCTTCATCCGATCGAGTGCATGCACGTCTCTCGCGTCATTTGGAGGGCAGGCTCGTGCCCTTCGCCCGGACGTGGGTTCGTGCCGATTTTTTTAAAACTCTCATTCGCTGAACTGTTTTTGGATGACACGCGAAAAAAAGACGTCGACGATGGAACTGTTCAAAATGCGGCCCCACGCCCATCGCTCGAGATTTATGCAAATGTTCATTCCTCCGCGTGCGACCGTTTTGGCACTGGATGAGGCCTCCCGGTCAGAAGGCCACCGTCTCTTGCATTTCGGGCCCCCGAGGAATGCCGGGGAAATTCTGAAATTCATCTCGCCTGAAATTCATCTCGCCTGAAATTCATCTCGCCTGAAATTCATCTCGGCATTCTGCAGCGGGCGAATGCCGTTACTGATGATCGATTTCATAAAGCTTTGCTCGCTTCTCGGGGAAAACGCCTTTCACCATTCGATGGGAGATTCTCGCAAGCATTTTAGCATACCAGCGTAATGTGATCATATCGAGAAAACACGAGAGGGAAAAAAAATTATTCCGGAATTTCAGCATTCATATAGCATTCCAACACCCACGACGAAGACCCGTGAAATCTAACCGAGCGAAGACGCATGAGAAATCGGCCGATTAAGATGTGACGACCCCCGCGAGGCCCCCAGCCGGCCCCCACCGACCCCCCCAGCCGGCCCCCACCGACCCCCGCGAGGCCCCGGCCGACCCCATCGACGACCGGGAGAGAAAGACGGAATAGAGCCGTGAGAGGAAGCCGGTAATTAGTCAGGTGACGTGAATAATGCGGTGTCTGGGAATAAAGTGTGTGGCCCGGGTGAAAGAGGACCACCCACATCGACGAGAGGCAAGAGAGAAACACTTGTTCCGTTTTCGACCGAGACAAAGACGGTGGTTTTTCTCCCCTTCCCGCCCTTCCCGTGCTTCGCCCGTTGCATCCGCACACGTGACAAATGCGGGCATAATTCGGAATGAGGGCGTTTCGGGACGCCGCGAAGGGAAACAGTTTAGCAGAGGCGAAGAAAATCTCGCGAGGAAATAATAATAACCGCTCGATGAGGACGACTCGAATCGCAACGATGGCGGCTTCTTCGCGACTTCGTCGAACTCTTTCACGAAATTACTGCCTGGGAATATAACGTCAGAAACATTGTTGACCCTGGAAAAAAAAAGTAATGTTGGGGATTATTGCCCGGATGGAGCACGGCCGAATCGAAAAGCCCCATTTTGAGGGAAACTGTTTAGATGATTAAAAAAAAAAGGCGGCATCGCGCTCAGCGATTCGCAGAAGAGCTGCGATATTAATTTGGGCTGCCGATCCCTGAATTTCTTTGTTGGGATGCTGGAAGTTCTAAGAGTGCTTTCTGGTGGTAAAAATTTCAATTGATTTAATTTATTTTAAAATTCAATAAAATAAAAGTTTAGTTTCGCAGTTATGAATGCAGCGACCAACCCCGCCAGCATGAGTAATGAAAAAAAAAACGGAGACGGAAGAAACATTTTTCTCACCTGTCTCATAGAAACACGAATTAGCTCGAGCTGGCCTCCCGCCTACACGCAGGCCATCGGTCCTTTATTGGCCATCGGTCCTCCCGCGCCTTCAATCAACAGAGGAGCTTCGGACGAATCGCTTTCCGTCTTCGGACGAATCGCTTTCGTCATTCATGCGAGGATCTCAGAGGCATCCCGTTATTCCGTTGGGAACGACGACGTTCCGCGCAGAAACGAAGAACGGACTCCACGGCGTCGATTCGAGAGACGAAGGGACAGGCTTGTCGTCGAGGTTCGCGGAAGGGCACGAACTTTTTTTTTTAAACGAATTTTCTCAACGACCCAAGAGTGACCTTAGGGCCGAATGATGCTCGTGCATATTCGATTTCGAGAGTCGATTCCGTCGGCGAAGAGCATATTCGAATCGAAAGAAACGCACCGAAACGGTATTTCCTCAGCAGATGGTTCGAAAACGAACGAACCAAAGAGATTCCAAGAGCGCGACGACCCACGCCATCACCATCATAATTAATCTTTTAATAATCTGATATTTTCAGCGGAGGCGAAGCGGCAGAGGCGGCGGCGGGAAGACCCTGAAGATGTACCGCGAAACGGTGGAAGACGCAGTGATGCTCTTCAACGAAGCCGGGCAGTTCCTCAAGGAGATCCCCCTCAACGGCACCCGCTTCTACTGGAGGACTCACGTCGACCAGCTCCGCCAACAGGGCCCGAGTAGGCCGATTCATATTTTTTAAATATTAATTTTGAATGCATATCTTGCATTCCTTTTTCTAGTTTGATTTCTTCAGCGTGTATTTTACTTCTCGTTTTTTAAGTCTTTTGGCTCGTCGCGTCTCAGCTGACCGGAGCGAGCGCGATTCGCGACGAACTTTTCCACCCGTGTATACGCGATTGATGCTTGATTTGTTCGTGATTTACGCGCGATTTGTACGTGATTGAGTTTGCAAGGTGGTTCAGCGGCGGGAATGAGAGACTCCTCGAAAAAAGCCGAGTTTGGAGCGGAGACCACCCGTATTCGCGCGTCGGTAATCAACGTATTCACGGTGCATTACATCACGTGACATTACGTCACGCGGGATTTCGTCACGGCACAGGCACACAAAGATATTGTATCGCAGTTGTCAAAATCGGGTAGCTGTTCTTCGAGACATTCCAAATGCACGATCCACACGTTCCGCATAATTAAAAAAGTGAGCCGATTCGAATGATCGCGAGAGCGATCGTCGCGAGCCGAAAAAGCTGTGTCTCGTCGAAGCGGCAAGTCTAAAAGAGAGCGACTCGATTTCGTGAACTGTACCAGACTACCCCGAGAGGGATTTTCATATCGATTCTTTCGAGGAGAATCCTGGAGAGATCCTTCGAAAAGGGATCCTGAGTACCGGCCGAGTACTGAAAATGACATTTCCGTTGTGAAGGTGCGGAGAGGGAGGACGCCGAGGGCGAGGGGATGCTGGACCTGTTCGCCGACCTCTACGGCCCCTGGAGCACCTGGTCCAAGTGCAACCGGCGATGCAGGCAGAAGAGGGTTCGGCACTGTCTGCATGCGCACGCCTGTCCCTACTCACGGCTCAAGGTCCCACGCTTCGCTCCTGTTCCTTAGGTTATGTGAGGTCGAGGCGGTTTTCCTTTCTCAACGGGGAAATGGGAGAGGCAGAGTCGAGCGAAAATGTTTCGCGTACATTGAAAAAAACATTTTTTTATATATTAGGTTTGCACTGTCAGGCTGTATCCTCCGGTGTTTAATTCTCTTCCTTTTGCCTGCGTGGCGCACGGTCTATGGTTTGTGTATGGGGAAACGGTTGCAGGGTCGTTTCTACTTTCAGAGCAGAATGTTTATCGCTTCGTGATCACCGGCTGGGGCCAGGATGGCTCCTAAGAAGAACTAGCTGGAATATGCTGGTGAAAGTGGAATAAAAATGACCTGCGACGTCGGCTCGCTTGGAGTGCGAGTGAAGTCGGCGAACAGAGCCCAAAATTTAAATATCTTTGAGAAACTGTAAAAATTCAGCTAGGAAAGAAAGAAAGAAAAAAAGCCCCTTTAAAGGGAAACCGGCCTCAAAGAAAATCTGGGAGAAAACGTAGAGCAAACCGCCTCGGGGCAAACGAAAACAACGGAAACACCTTGTGTGACGTGACTCACTCCATCCTTGAAGCCTCCACCCCCTTCGTCCCGACACCGCCCGTCCTTGAATCCACCACCCCCTTCGTCACCGCCCGTCCTTGAGGCTACCACTTCCTCCGTTTCGACGCCGCCCGTCTTTCCAAGATCACGCAAACAACGTAACTAGCTGAGAATAATGGAAGAATTTTGGGCTTGGGCTCGGGCCAGGCGATGGGGATGGCTTTTCCACCTGGTCCGTCCAGGCGATGTGCATCCACCTCTCCCGCGTCGGCTTGTTTATATTTCAATTAGTTTGTATGGATGCGAACTGATTACGTTCTTCTTCCGTTTCCGCCGTCGCATCGTCTTGAAAACGGTATATTTTTGGACGAATTTCAATGAATTCCTGGTTTCACTAGGCTTAAGACAGGATTCCATGAACTTTCTTATTTTCAATGTCAGTGTCTATTACATGCCACTACAATTACAATGTGCCATTACAATTACAGTGTGCCATTACAATTACAAAACCTGAAGTCATGCTGAAAACTATGGACTCCAGAGACATTTTTAAATATCAGCATTAGGTTCATGGGGAAGTGGAAATGCATCATGAACCAGATCTTAACGGAGCCACAATGAGGCACTCACAAACGTTCCAGCAACTTGGGAAAAATCGCTGCGAACAGAACCTTATTCACATTTTTGGAGCGGAAAGAGAAATGGATTTCCAGCCGGCGACGATCGATTGGCCCCCTTCGGCTTTCCAGCTGGAAGCAGTTACCAGGCCAGAGCCGGCTGGAGTCGTGTTCCGAATTTCCTTTGTCAGGTCTTATTTCCTGATGGAGAAAATTGTTCCCAGCCGGAACAAAGAACTGAAACAAGTTTACAAATTTCCCTCAAAAACGTTGAGACGAAAAATCAGCTGTAGATGAAGAGTTAAACATGAAAATTTTTATTATTAAAAATTCGTGTTCTGTGAGCAACGCTCCCCAACCCCGTTCAAAAAGAATTCCCCCCCCCCCCCAACCAAAGAAACCCTCCCCCAGTCCATCCAGTCAAGGTACTGAACTCGGAAACCCGATTGATGCCTAGGAAGAGAGGGCATGCAGGGGAGGCAAGTGCAACCCCGTGAGGCGAGGAGGCGAAGTCCGGATCTACTGGCACTTCGACACGCTCTTCTTCTCGCAGTGGTCCATGTGGTCGCCGTGCACGAGGTCCTGCACCACCCGGCGATACAGGTCCGTTCGGTTCTTTTCCCTAATTTTTATTTAAATATAATCAAGTGTAATATTAGTGTAATTTTGAGATTGCTTCATTCTGGGATACTCCACGAATCAGAGACGAAAAAAATTTTTTTTGTCCTAATGCGAGGCATTCGTCGGGCGCTTCTATTAAACCCACGACAAACGTTGAATTCCCGACGTTCACACAACATTGAACTCGACCAGGGCTTGCCTGTTCCCGCTGATCTGCGGGAGAAACGTGCTGACGGAGGAGGCGTATTGCTACGTGGAAGGATCCGCCTGCGAGACCTGGTTCAAGAACCGCACTTCACGCAACAGCTTCCTCGGTATTATTTTCTTTTCATTTGAGCTAATAATTTAACATTTTTGTTTCACTGAACTCTGCGTCTGCAGTTGAATTGTACCGCCGGGTCGTAATGAAAAGAAATATTGCATAACCGTGCGAATTTCTGCAAATTAGTTCCGCATGGAAAACCTCAGAGACGACTCATCGATCGTGAACAGCATTTTATTTGCGCCCTTATCTGAACTCGACCTTTACAGCCTTGTCTGAACTTGACCTTTACACCCAGACGACCGAGAGCGCGGTAATAAATACGCGATATATCTGGGGGGAGCCTCGTACAATCGATAACTTGGGGCCATAAATCACTGGCCTGTCAGATAGGCAAGAACCTTTGCGGCTACTGTAAATGCTTCAATATGGAAGAGTTTCTCTTCCAAACATTTCCATTCCCTGGTACGCTCACAGAATACCGCACGGCACAGCATATATTTAGGCGTCTGGCACTAGCCAATGTTTTATTTAAAAAAAAAAGGAATGGGACGAGAAACTCATGAAGAATTAATTATCTTCAAGATAGTTTTGCTCCGTGGACTACAAGAAAACATATGAGGGGTTTTAATTAGCTATGCTGAATTTAAAAAAAAAGTAACATAGAATTCTTAATGGGAAGTAAATGATAAACTTGGATGGACCCCGTTCCAGAGCCCGGGGAGGACGAGGAAGGCACGGAGGGAGGGGAAGAAGACGTGGCAGCGGAAGCGGAGGAAGACCCACCCGCGAAGCACGAGAGGGAGGGCGAGGGGCTGGGGCCGGAGACGGAGGAGGAATGCGGCTCGAACAACGTCACCAGCCCCGACCTCCGGATCATCGGGGGTCGGGTCGCTCGTCACGGCAAGTGGCCCTGGCAGGTCGCCATCCTCAATCGATTTAAGGTATTGGCTTTGTTCGTCGTAACGATGTTATTGGAGGAGATCCGGTGTGGCGGCCACGATGGATCTCTTCCATTCGGTTTAACGCGTGGGGTGGCTCCGCCAGGATGAAAACAGGGAAAGAAAAAAAAAAAAAGAGTGAGGGGCCACCCAAGTAGACGATGAAGATCTTTCCCTTGGCCTCATCTGAAATTCGGATTCTCTGATATAAACGACTTCATCATCCATGAATGAGTGTCCCTGTCCCGTATATCACGTCCCTTCTCCCGTCTGGGATATATTTATGACATTTCACGAGTCTCGTGTGCTCATTGCCAAATCGGTAAAAGGGGACTCGGACGTGACGGAATAGCAAATTCAGAATTCAGAGTTCAGAATTCGAGGAGGAATCTCCGACGGAGGTCCTTTCTGACCTCGAAACGTCCCAAAGGCACGGACTTCATCCCACACAAAATGCATTTCTCACGAACGTGCAGGAGGTGTTCTGCGGGGGGACGCTGGTGAGTCGATCCTGGGTGCTGACGGCGGCCCACTGCGTTCGGAAGAAGCTTCTCATCAGACTCGGCGAGAGCAATCTGCTCAGCAAGGAGGGCACCGAGACGGAAATCAAGGTCGAGGTCGTTCCTTCCTCTTTGCGAGGTCGGTGGGAAGGAGGGGTCAGGCCGTAAATGGAGGCTGAATTGAGTTCGTGCTGGTCTCTTGAAATATCCGTGATTCGGTGGGGATTTGAGGCTTTCCTCTGTGGCTCGACCTCTCTTTTCCTTCAACCTTGCCTCTTTGTTCCATGTCATTACTTCCATAACAAGAGAGTGATGCTTTTTTTTTTTAACTTCACGGATGTCGTAGTTGGAGGTTTTCTCAATAATTTTGCAGATTGCCTTGTCAAACTCTTTGAATGCACCGTATATCGAAAAGCTTTGTCGATCAAGTATATACATTTTGCATGTTTCAGGACGTTCCTTACCTACGAATACACTGGAGTTCCTAAAGAGAATCCTGGGCATTTGGAATGGTAACATTTTTTTCTAATTTACAGAAAATGTTTTAATTTTAATTTTAAAGATATACGAGATGCTATTGAGCATAGGCGTAACAAAGGGGGAGGGTGGGGGAAGGAGCGCAGGCACAAATCCACCCGAAAAAAGCAAATGCATCAGAAGTGTCTCAGAGTTCTCACGTTTTTACGAACAGATTGGTTTTACTTGGTTTACTTTCCATAACGGGTTTCCATAAAAATAAAATGAATCCCGATTGCAATACCTTTTAAACGTTTTAATTTACGCGTTATGTTGTATCCATTGAATATGTTCTCGTCTGCATTTGCACAGATGAATGAGTGCTTCGTTCCTCTGAATTCGAGTTAACGTCAAAGTGTCCTGTATTCAGGTGGAAGACCACTTTATTCATCCGGATTACGATCCGGAAACGGTGGACGGGGACGTGGCGCTGCTCCGGCTCCCTAGCCCCGTGAAACTGAACAAGTATCGCCGGCTGGCCTGCCTGCCGGATGCGGGGGACCGCGTCCCGGAGTCCCAACTCTGCACCATCATCGGGTGGGGCAAGGAGCGCAACACGAATCTTTTCGGGACCGATCAGCTCCGCGAGGCCGAGGTAATTGTCCTGGGATCCCCGTTCCTGTGTACCTGTACCGGTATTTGTACTACCTATCATACGTACTGAGAAACTTTCCTCCCCTTTGGAGTCTTACTCAAACTATGCCAGCATAGGGAAGGCAGAGTGATTCCTTTCTTTATTTTTCCGGACAATTTGAAATTTTAATCTCCTCTGACATTAATTTTTATTCGATAACTAGACATGCTAAAAAATACAATTATCACCATTACGTGAAACTAAACTAGTTATCACGAGAATAGATATACAAATGAGAATTAAAATTAATTTAGAAAAAGTTAACGGACTGCTAATCGTTACTTATTAAAAATTATTAATAAATTATTTCTCAATTTTATATTAAAGAAATAAGATTAGAAGAGAACAAATATTTCGTCCTTGAGATACTTGTCTTGCCCATGCGGACGTACAAAGTTAATGTTAGCATGGGAAGCCCTATCGCTATCGGTTTGAGTGCCACGTGGCGATTTGTGCTTCAGGCGATAATGACAAATGAAATGCAACGGAATTCAGGCCTTGATACCTGCGATTCCCCTCGCACGGTTCCAAGCGGAAGTAATAAGAAAAGTATAGGGTTATCCTGTCGAGAGAAGCCGATTCTCGTTCCTGACTGACCTTAATTTTGATCCGGGGGCGTCGCGGCCGATGGCAGGTTCCTGTGGTGCCGGGGGAGATGTGCAAGGACGTGTACCAGGATTACAGCATCACGGAGAACATGTTCTGTGCCGGCTACAAACGCGGACGCGTGGACTCCTGTGCCGGCGACTCCGGCGGGCCCTTGCTGTGCCAGATCCACGGCAAGTGGACCATCTACGGCATCACCAGCTTCGGGGAAGGCTGCGGGAGGAAGGGGAAATTCGGCATCTATGCCAAGGTCCCCAACTACGTCGCCTGGATCAAGAGCGTCATCAAACACAATTCGTGATAGCGTTTCAATCCGAAAGACTTTTTTTCCGCCCCTGTGAATCATCCTTTTTTATTTTACGATGAGGTATAGTAATATGCAGGTCTGGTTTCACGAGAAAAAAAAAATAAAGTTCTTTCTGTGACTGAATTCTTCCTTCTTGACGTTTCCCACCGAGCAATTCTGGCGGGGCCGGTTTTGGCAGTTGCGTCCACGGTCGTCACGTCGTTCCGGCGGCCGAAAAACCTGCGACTGTTGTGTTTGAACAAATCTACCGACCAGCTCAGCTGGTTGCACAAAGATGACGGCGACCAGTGAGGGCGAGAGAAAATGCGAGCCCCGTTTCACTGTAAGCGTCACTGGATCTCGATTTAGTAGCGATTCCTCGGGGAAAACTCGTGAGATAAAAGTTGGATCCAACTTCTGTCAGATTGTCCACATGGCATTTCCGCCTTCGAAGGTGGAAATGCCGTGTGGACGCAACGGTTCGCGAATCACCGTGGGGTAGAGGGAGAAGACGTGCGGTTGAATCACGGTCATGGAGCAGTCAATTCAGCGCTCCCCTTGTTTCGAGTCAGCCGAATGCTGATGCAGATGATTCTGAGGCAATCGACAGAAGTCTCGCGCATGAACATATAGACAACTGCATGCATTGCAATCCCTCCGCATGGAATCAGCAAATGTGCACAAATGGTAAATCCTAAATGTCTCCCCTCGACATATTTGCAAGTTGTTGCCGAATAACGTGTCTCCTTCCCCGACGGTGCTCACAGGTACAATTAGGGGCAATGCACCACAAGGCAAACAGTTTTTAAGTTCGTGGCAATACTCACAGGTACCGCATAAGAACTGCTCAAAGTCCTCGCATCTATGACATTCCCAAAGCCCTTTTTATGTGCATTGGAGACATACAACCTCGAAAAAATCATAATCGAAGAGGGAAAGGGTTAAGAGCATCTTCTCGCATCATTCGCGAGTCTTCAATCGGGCATTTTCGGCCCTCCGATCCACCCTTTGTTTATTACTATGCAGAGATACCGAAGAACAATCGCGGTTCAGAAAGAAGAGGTAAATATGAGGAAGGAGAAATGAGCTGAAGTAGCGTGACGTCACCGTGACGTCACTGAAGTCGGTGCCATTGACTGATTTTCGTGTCGGGGGTGTGGATCATGTCGTTCCACTGATCCAGCCCGGATCCGGACACGTACGAGAACGGCCCCACTGACGTCTTCCCCAGCTGCTTCTTCATTCCTGTCGAGGGAAACATTCACTTTCTTTTCGAATCGATGTTTCCCGAATGCAATGCTTTCTCCAGTGCTCTCTCTGTCCTACCATTTACTTGAAGATTTTTCATCTGAATCAAGTATTTTAAAACTCGAAGGGGTGGGGGTGGGAGTGGGAGGGGGGGGGGGGGGGGGGAAGG